GAATAGCTAACAAAATCAAATAAACACAATTATTATGGGATGAGTTTCATTATAGAATTGATAATATCAAAAATATTATAGAGGATCAGCCAAATAGATTATTATGATTTATTAAATTCTATATATTCTAAAAATATTTTTTTTTTAAATGAACGTAACCAAAAACTTTGGTTGGACAAAAATGGCAACATATTTTTTTTTTTTCAAAAATAGACTAAATAATTTTTTGAAAAAAATAATTGTTTATCTTAAATAAATGACATAAACTGAAAATCTTATGTTTGGGTTTATTTTTCTCAAACTAAGGTATTGAGTTTTGGGTTTAGGGTTAAGGAGAAGTTTACTGGTTCATGAATTTTAATAGATTTAGAAATCTAAACTAAAATTCCCCCTTATTTGATTAGTGATTTCAAAATCTTTGTCAAAATTTCTCTTTATTCATTCAGTGATTTCTAAATACTAGTTGAAATTCGGTTTTATTGGTTTAATGATTTGTTACTTAGATTTGGATATCCTTGGATTATAATGAAGTTAGAAGTGTTTTCAAAATCCAAGATAAAATCTTGGTATTTCAAAATCCATCAGTCTATATTGAAGGATTATAAGATTTAGAAATTATACTACTAATATAGATTTTGGGTTTAGGTTTTTGAAAAAAAAAAACTGAATCATTTTAATGTTCAATTTTTTTTTGACAACAACTGATTTTAACTACTTTTTAGATATTTCATTTTTATTCTTTTTATTAGTTTAATTGGATAAATATTTTATTATTCTGTTACACAAATAAATTTTCAGATATTATTCTGCATTCAGCAACATTCAGCTGTTACCATTCACATTACCAACTAATCAGCCAGATTCTGCAAAAAGTCTTCATTTAATTCAGCCAGATTCCGCATTCAGCAACATTCAGCGGTTAACATTTAGACCCATAGACTAATGACCCAAAAAAAAAAAAGACTTGAGCACGGGACTATATGTGGCTATTTGATTGTGGGTCACATGCCTAAAACCGGTCATAAATGAACACAAATTGTAACATCCCGGTTTGTGATAAATGAGGAGAGGCTTAAGAGAATTGATTTGGCTACCTATGTCAACAAAGTGCACTTACCTTTTCGGTCAAAGGTCTATAAGTAACTCCAGAGTTAAGCGTGCTTAGGCTGGAGTAATTGAAGGATGGGTGACCTTCCGGGAAGTGGTTTCCGAAATCGTGTGAGTGAGGCCAAAACACGGGGAAAGGTCGGGTGTTGATTGCAGGGATAGTAGACAAGTCATTAGAGACTCTCAAAAATAACGGACCGGCCGTCAGACAGGGGTGAGGCCCACGGGCCGAGATGGGCCTGTGGCCCAGAGAGAGCGCGTGGGTGACTCACCGGGAGGGGCGGTCGGGGCATTATACAAATAAACAATTATGGTTTTCAGTTTTATCGCAAAATGTTGACATGTATAATAATACTAATATATTCTGGTTCAGAAAGTTGCAGATACACCCGATGAACATTGCCAAAATTGATTAAGCATGCCAGGATCGTACATGACCAAAACCTTCACATTTAATCATCATCATCCATTTTAATATAAAATGCTTCACCATTAGTAAACTTCAAGCACATAATCTAATTGTATATAAAAATCAACGCTATAAATCAAAGAATGTCAGAATTTAATACATGAATGTTTTTGCATATACAGTACGACACTGAACATGATGCAATTTGGTAGACCCAGTCGCAAGACACGTGTAATCACTATTCAATCACAAGCCCTTTTCATCCTCCGATTATATCATACTACCATATTAGCAAAACGTGCCGATAAGCATTGGAATATACACGCACATACTTACAAAATACAATCAATCTCTCTTGACATAAATGAATACAAATAATACAATTTCAACGGTTATGGTTAGAGCAAGTTGGGCATGCCATGCCAAACTGATATATACGTTTCCGTATGTTACATCTCTATTGCTTCATTCATTCATCGATACACACAGTACACATATGCTACAGATTTAAATTGATACATGACAATACCAGTGGTCCAAAACCTATAATTATAACGACAAGAGGTTCTTTTATGAGGAGCGATGAGCAGAGCAAAGATACAAAACAAAACGATGGTGAAACTTTCCATGCATTTTGTATTTGTCCACTGTATGCTTCAACGTGAAGAAAAGAGATCTTACTTCATATCCCTAATATATTAAAAGAGCACTATAAAATAAACCTTTGTCTCATGTGTTATTAACAGAAATGTCATGCTGATGTGTCAACACCAGGTTCACTTTCAAGGTTAGTTTTAATTAAGACAAACATTACTAGACTAATTACATGTTATGCCATTCATATTTGGTTAGAGAATGAAATATATATGATTAATTTAGTCAGAAAAATAATTATTAATGAAAATTATTTTCTTTCAGTTTCCTTATTTGGTAATGACGAAAATTTATTTATTAGTCAATCAATCAGTAAAATATGGAAAGTTTTATTCAATTGTATTATATTAATTGTTTAAAAATTAATTTATTCATCTATCATTTTTGTTTAGCTTTACTTTCAAGAATAAATTATATCATCACATCAAAATATTTAAAAAAAGAAAATTAGTTTTTTTCTACATATGCTATGGTTTGAATTTTTAAAAATGAAGCAAATCTCTAAAAATGTTAAATGTCCCACATGATTATATTTTGGGATAATAGTTCAAAAACCTATTATAAAATAGGATCCAAATAATGATCAACCATAATCACAAATAGGAAAGAAAAATTTACCATGTTTGGAAATCTTTAAAATTTCTTTTATTCGATTTAATTTGATTCTTTAATTGAATTAAATAATTAAATCGTATTTTTTAATATTTTGGTTTGATCAAAATTTTAAACGTAATAAATTCTAATAACTTATCATATAAGTTAAATTATTTTAGTTATTTAAAATTGATAAAAACATAAAATATATATGCCATTTTATATTTATCAAAATATAAAATTATTTTAAATGTATTAAAATTTAATATATATGTGGGTTCGGAAAGGGAGAAACTGTTGTTAAAGCAAATGTTAGATTACCACACTGTAAACGATGACAAAAATCAAACCAGGCTAAAAAAATATGCATCACTCAAAATTTCGTCTAATGTAAATTGACATTTTTTTAATTGTCTAACACTCTATGTTCCTAAAATTGTATGTAAATAGACATCTTTTAATAAAATCAAATTGAGAAAATATCACCCCGTGCAAGGCGCGGGTCAAACTCTAGTAGTAGAAGTATATTAAAAAAAAAAAGAGGATCTTACTTGCGATGAAGTTTAAGAAGTCCATAGATGTATTTTAAAGTTCTTATGTACCATAAATTAAGAAAAATTTCCTATACTAAAGAAAATTTGAAATCAAACTCTTGAACTTCTTATTGAATTTAACGTACGTACCATACATTTCCGATCCCAAGATCGTTAATCTTGCATACCATAACTTGCTTCTAAAATCAACTAGCTTTGCTTATAAACCCGTCTTGCTACCGTACTTGGACCGGCCTGTACTATTTGATTAGCTTGCTGCTATTGTCGTTGATTGCAACCAAATCCGATATGAGGAACTAGCCGAAGTCAATTAAAAATATTACACTTAATTGTGCTCCAAATTTTAATATCAAAAATATCTCAGCAATTGTTTAAAAAATATCTCAACAATTTAGTGCCATTTTTTATTTTTGGCTCCATCACCAAATTTGTAATCATCATCTATAGTTAAAAATCAATTGTAAACTAAAAGTTGATACGAGTAGCTGCGAAAAGATCCGTTAGAATTAATGAATAATATTTTTACAGCTAACACAGGGTTAGGGAGTGTGAAGCCCTGTAACGTAGACCGAAATTGTGCTGCATCGCAGAGATTCATTCATTGCTTATATAATTTTTTCTACTTATGTAAAATTATCAACGGTTTCAATAAACACAAAATTAAACATTGTATACTTTAGAATAATATTTGAACATTACATAAAAGGTTTGTGGTTCGCATAGTCAACAAATTCTATTCTTATGGTACATATATTTTCCGGAGAAGTTGGATTAAAAAACGAAGTTGCTTGCATGGAAAAAATGCTTCACAAGTGATGAAAAGATGGCATCAGTTAGACGACAAGAGTTTTCATTTTTTTTTTTTTTTTTTTTTTTTTTTGAAAGAAGCATGATAAGCTATTCGACAAGAGCTTCCAGTTTCACAGCGGAGATGGTAGCACTTCTGGGCAAACATGACATGATTGCTAAAAATAAAAGTCTTTGTCGCATATCTTGTTGAAAACAACAGGTCTCTAAACTTCTCTCTTCACAGCCTTATACATTTACTCAACTGAAAATGAAAATTCGTATTAATTATTCGAAGCAACTACACATACTATTTTTGGAAATTGCATCTGATAACCATAAAAAAAGTGAGTAGCCAAATAACATGACATATTAATTGAGAATACAATGAAATTTCTATGAAGTAATAACATCGGGACTATGATATTTTATCAAAATATTACTTTATCGAGAGATAACTGAACCAAAAACTTAACTTAATTTAGTACTGAATAATTCAATTAATTTATCGAATAATACTTTATAGAGGTTATATTGTATATCTAGTAAAGTCTGAAAGCCCTCAGACATATTCCATTCTACATTGTAGCAAACTAAAAAACATAAAAATAATACTTATATTAATATTCTTTTTTTTCTCCAATTCTCTTTCTCTTTCTTCTTTGAAGTAGTAGTTAGTACATACAGTTATTTAAAATTTAGTCATTTAGATTTATTTTTTGGGTTAACAATGTTTAGTCTTTTGAATTTACACAATTTAGAGTTCTGAATTTTTGATATAAAGTGTACTTATATCAAAGTTATGATAAGTAGCAACAACATAGCATTTGTATAAGATTTATAAGATTTACGAAGGAAGTTTTAGCTCTAATGTTTGATTACAAACAGTCGAAACACTAGTGAAGTTCCAGAGTCTCTCCATCTAACAAACTCCAAAGTCGTTCAACGTCAAGTGCGGAGTTTGCTCCCTTTTCTGTTGCTGTAGCTACTACACCGAGAGCATCTGTTTCTTGGCTCTCTTCGAGCAAACTCTCCCACCACATATTCTCACCATCCATTAGATGATTCACAAGCTCCTCATCTTTCCTAGATGTGGTGGGCGAGTTATTGAGTCCAAGGCATGGAGGAGTAACGTCATGAACTTCTGGCCGGCCATTGAAATGGCTGCAGCCGTTGTTCATTGTGAAGGATCGGGGTCGAGGCTTTACAACTTCGATTTTTTGGGCCAGTAATGTGGTAGGAGAACAAGGAATGTTCCTCTTTTTAATCTTGGTCTTACAATAAGGTTCATGCTTCTTACTCAAGTGGGTGTTCCAGTAATTCTTGACATCATTAGCGGTCCGACCAGGCAATCTTCCAGCAATCAAGGACCATCTGCACATTGTGAAACAATAGAAATTATGGCTCCCGAAATAATCAAAATTAATTAATTAACATCTAGTAATTAAATGAACAAGTACCTGTTTCCTAGAAGCTTGTGAAGTCGAAGAAGAAGATCAACTTCGTCAGAGCTAAGTTTTCCTCGCTTGATACTTGGTTTCAAGTAGTTCAACCATCTTAGTCTACAACTCTTTCTGCACCGGTTTAGCCCTACAAAACCAATAATTGACATAAAGTCTATTAATTACACGTACTAGTGTACTACGACTGCTTTTGTATACTTTATCAAGAAGAATCTATGAACACCAATAGAAATCATCCACTATTGTACACACATACACTGATACACACGTGTTAGTTCATTTACTACAAGACAAACCAATGAAAAAAGGCATAACCAATGAAAAGGTTTTAACTATTTAAAGAAGTCGGCATATTTTCTTGTTGGCACCGAGAGGTTAGCAATATACTACAACGTAAGTAAAAAGAATATCCCTTTTTCATCTTTACTCTTAAGTATGAACAACATAAATAATTTTCCATGAATAAACCTTACAAAAATATGAAACACTAACTTTCTCATTAAAACAAAAAGAAAAACAATGATTAGTCTACCCGGGGATTAATCAATTTTCCATAGTGATTAAATATATATATATATATATATATAATTTCATAAAGATTTTTTATGAACAATCTTGAAAGGCATGAAGAAAAAACCCAATAATATGTGTACCTTTGTGTTAATTAATTTTCCGAATATTACATAGATAGAGAAAGATGAATATGATTCCTAGTGATTATATATAAATATATGTATTGTGTGTGCGTGTAAATAACATACCAGCTCTTAAAGGAACTTGATGCCATTTGCCTTCTCCATACTTATCAATGCATTTCCTCAATAGACCATCTTCTTCAGCAGTCCATGCACCTTTTCGCAGCCCTTCGGACGGACCCTCCATGGACTAAAAATAATATCAAAAGTATCCAAGGAAATTATTTTAAACACGTATAACTTCTTATGTAGAGAGTTGAGGAAGATGGTATATATTGTGGTTTCACAAATCTTTGGAGGACTTATATACACACGTGATGGGTATAGGGAAGTGACGTGCCTGTTCGATGTCCACATTTCTTGTTTTACCTGTCGTGCTTAATTTGCTAAGTTAGTTCTGTTACTGATTTGGACTAGAGAAAAGTTTATAGCATCTAGCTATTCACTTCATCTTTTTACAGTACTTTAAGAGGAAAAACATGTCTCTTAACACTTAATTAGTGTTAGAATCTCAAAATCGCACAGTAAAGTAATAGTAAGATAAGAGATGTGAGGTTTAGGAGAGACTTTTTATTAGATCAACCAAAAACAAAGATGGTACAAGGGGTGATTCGTCTCGACGACAAGGTTTGAAAAACTAAGAACAAAGGACGAATTATAACTAGGGTTTTGCCTCCTTGCTCTCAATGATTGTAGGTGGTTATGAATGATTCTGAATGATCTTCAAGGAATAAGGGTCTTCTATTTATATGGAGAGGGGGTTGGCTTATTCAAGATATTCTTCCATATTTCTTTTGGAAATATTCTTCTTTGGCGTTGATCTCCTTCTATTTTTCTTGGAAGTAGTCTTTTTTTCAAAGTACTTCCTTTTCTTTGAGGAGGTGGAAGTGGAAACGGGCCGGACTTGCATAGTATTATTAATTGTGACGGATTCAGGGAAATTGTGCTAATTTCTCCTCTATCAATAAATCCCCCCCAAGGCGAGATAAACACAGTTTAATCTCGGCGAACTTCATGTATAAAAGAGGAGCTCAAGAGCGATTAATAATAATTATGCGATGTCGACGCGATGCCGATGCTGTCGCGATGCTGCGCTGACGTGATGCTGCGTTGCGTTATTGACTTTAGATCCGTACAGTCTCGTTAAAACCTTGATATGGAAAAACCGTATGAGATAAAAACCATAAGAAGGGAAAAGAGTACACTGACGTAATCTTGTCCGCAAATAGAATGTGCTTTTGATAATTTCTCTCGGACTTGACGAGATGACTCTTTTGTCTCGTCAAGGAGAATAGATTGCTGTGATGATTTCTCTCGGATTCGTGCTTCGACGAGATTGTTAGGGTCGTGCTTCGACGACACCGATTGGGGTCGTGCTTCGGCAACACTTATTGGGGTCGTGCTTCGACGAAACTGATTGGGGTCGCGCTTCGGCGACACTTGTTTTTCTCGGATTTGATATATGCTCGTCAAAGAGGATAAATCTTCAGACTTGACAATAGCTTTCGTTGATGTCGAGATGATGAAGTAGTTATGCCTAGACCGTGTTTGACGCGATGCATCGCATACTCATGCCGAGATGGTGGGGAAGTAATTCCATACTCGAAGTTTTATCTCGACTCTCGGCATTCGAACTTCAGATTTTGGACTTTAGGACGCGACGACTTTGGTCGGCCTCCAAAATCTAAAGGAATATTTTTTCCGGTTTGGACGCAATGACTTCGTCGACTTATTCTGTGTTATGAATTTGAGGGATCAGAAACATGCGAAGTTTTATCTCGACTTTTTTCGATTTCGTCCTCCAGACCTCAGACCTTTCGGGCTCATCCAAAATCTGAAGGCATTCCCATCGGTTTGGACGCGACGGCTTTGCGCCGGCTTACTCCTCATGGATGATCAGTCCGTTTACTTTGGTTTTTGTTTCTCTCAGGCTCGGCGCTTTGGCGAGACCGGTTTTCTCTGGATCGTGCTTTGACGAGACCGGTTGGGGTCGCGCTTCGGCAACACTTGCTTTTCTCGGGATCGTCCTTCGACGAAACAGGTTGGGGTCGCGCTTCGGCGACGCTTGCTTTTCTCGGGATCGTGCTTCGACGAAACCGGTTGGGGTCGCGCTTCGGCGACACTTGTTTGCTTCGTCGAGACGTTTGGCCAGAGCGTCGACATGTACCTTTGAAGGTAAATAAAATTTTACAATGCTCATCTCGTCAGACGGATTATAAAATTTTATTGGAGTTATAGCTGAACCTTTTGAAAGGCTGCCTACATACCCATGCTGAGATCAAGCCATTCGTAGTTCATTGCGACGAGTAGGGTAGTACTACCGGACGTGCCGTTTCGGCGGTGGAGGCAGGTCATCTGGGTTAGGGAGTGGTTGAGGTGCGTTCTTCTCGGCATCATCATCCTCATCTCGGCGTCGGCGCTGGTTTGCAGCTTGTCGATTCTGGTCGCGGCGTTCAGCATCGTCTTGGCTTTGCGGAGTATTGCTGTACTCTTGTATCAAGCTCATGACGTGCCTACAAGTTTCCGTAGTATGACCGTATCGTCTATGGAAGCGACAGTAGCTCTTGTCGTCGTTGTATTTTTCGTCGCGTCGTTGTTCGTCTGGAGAAGGTTTCCTTTTATTCTCTTGACGAGACGACTTCTTCATCTTTCCATGCATCTTTGAGTGGTGCCCTTGCTTTCTTCGACGAGACGTATTTTTGGGATCGGTGCAAAGCGTCCTAGAGGGTTGCGGGTTCGTCGAGCATCAGACTCTCTTTCAACTTTGATTCGAACCAAAGCCGTTTTCGAAAGCTTTGATTCCTATCGCGTCAGGGATGTCTGAGTGCTCTGCTGCTGCTGTTTTGAATCTCTCGACGAACTCGCGAAGAGGCTCATCTTTTCCCTGTGCCATAGTGAAAAGATTGGTGTTGCCTTTTGACATAAACATGCCAAAATGTTTCATGAATGCCGTGCTGAGATCGTCGAAGCTGTCGATGGTCTCGGCGGGAAGATTTGAAAACCAGCTCGTCGCGTCTTTGTTCATGTGCTCGATGAACACTTGACAGTAATTTGCGTCTTGTTCTTCGGGGAGGCATATTTTTGCCTTCTCATGGCCATCTCGAAGTTTCTTAGCCAGTTTCGAGGATCGTCACCATTGTTGTAGAACTGAAGACGGAGAGCCGTTTGATCCTTTAGAGGTATCGCGGCGATGCGACGAGTGAAAGGACTCTTTTCGTCTCGGCGAGGACTTTGGCAATCTCGGGTGCCGAGCTGATGGCGTCGTGCACTTTGGAGCTGATTGCGTCGAGGTCGCGGCGCAGCTTGGCCACTTCCGGGTCGGTGTCTTTCTCACCATTCGTCGCGGCATTAGAACCAGTCGCGGTGGTGCTTCTTGTCGGTGTTGGAAGAGGGTTCGTCCCGTCGGGCTGACTCGTCCGTCGCTGGTGACGTGGAGGGAGTCGATCTTGTCGTTGTACTTTTGCTGCTGAGCTTGCATCTCGGCAATTTGAGCAGCAAAACTTTGCATGGCGGCGGTTAACGCGGCGGTCGTGACGGGAGCTTCTACGTCAGGAACCGGTGGCGGCGGAGGGTTGACGTGACCGTTGGTCGCGTCGACTTCGACGGGATGGACGATGGGGTTTCCATCTGCGCCGAGTTGACTTTGCAGTCCGCTTGTTTTGGTGACGAGCTCGTCGTTTGGAGGTCCCATCTTTGAACTTTGATTGACTTTTTTCAGAGTTTGTTCTCCAGCCCCACGGTGGGCGCCAATTGTTGAATCTCAAAATCGCACAGTAATAGTAAGATAAGAGATGTGAGGTTTAGGAGAGACTCTTTATTAGATCAACCAAAGACAAAGATGGTACAAGGGGTGATTCGTCTCGATGACAAGGTTTGACGAGACAAATACGAAAAGAAGAGAGAAACTAAGAACAAAGGACGAATTATAACTAGGGTTTTGCCTCCTTGCTCTTAGTGATTGTGGGTAGTTATGAATGATTCTGAATGATCTTCAAGGAATAGGGGGTCTTCTATTTATATGGAGAGGGGGTTGGCTTCTTCAAGAGATTCTTCCATATTTCTTTTGGAAATATTCTTCTTTGGCGTTGATCTCCTTCTATTTTTCTTCGAAGTAGTCTTTTTCTCCAACTACTTCCTTTTCTTTGAGGAGGTGGAAGTGGAAACGGGCCGGGCTTGCATAGTATTATTAATTTTGACGGACTCAGGGAAATTGTGCTAATTTCTCCTCTAACAATTAGTAGAAAAGGCCGCTAATGATTACAGAAGAGACCAATGTTTTTAAAACTAGAACGGGCAGTGAACTGGAAAGTCTTAATAGGTCATAGGTTAATCTAATCCAATCAGTTTTAGTGGGTTTCATATAAATATATATAAAGCTGGATGCGCGCGACGTGGTTGTGACACGTATGATTTTTATAAAATATAGGATCGTGACATGTGTCACTTTTAAGATTATTTCCGTTAAGATCGTAACACGTGTATTAGGGGGAAAAAAATTTAAAAAATACTAGAAATAGGATAATTAAAAAAAAACGAAATTTAATTAAAAAAAATAATTTAATCTATTTTATTTTTAAAAAAAAATAATATTTGTCATATCCTAACAGAAAAAGGTTTTCCCATTCATCAAATTAATATTATCCAAACACATATCTTATTATATAGAGTTGGATGCTGTAACATCCATAAACCAAAAATTGGGAATTTTGTCGGTTCAATTTAAGTGAATTGGTTTGGGTCGGTTTAGTGGAGAAAGCCCTAAAATCAAGTTTAAAGAGTGCAGCCGTCTTCTCTTTGGAGAATTTTCGAGTTCAGGCTGTAGAGGAGAAAAGTTGAGTTTTTGGAGAGATTTTCGAATTTTACTGTTCATCGGGTACTGTTCATCGGGTTACTGTTCATCGGGTACTGTTCATCGGGTACTGTTCATCGTCGGGATTTCCGCACTGTTCATTGTTTTCCTTCAGTTTCAATCATTGTCAAGGTGAGTGCATGACTGTGGGTCCGTGATTTGCTAGATTAGATTTGGTTTGTGTTGTTCTTGATGAGTTTATGTGTTTAATTGTTATTTATGATATTTTGGTTGTTTATGTGATGAATTGTGTGTTTGTGTGGTTTAATCTGGTTTAATTGAATTTAATTGATTTGATTCTGGTTTATCTTGGTTCAATTGAATTTAATTGGTTTATATTGGTTTAATTGAATTTAATTGGTTTAATGGAATTAAATAGATTTAATTCGGATTTAATTAATTAAATAATATTTATTTAATTAATTGGTTTAAAATAATTATTTTAATTATTTTAAAATATGGAAAATTATTATTTAATTATGAGAATTATTTAATAATTGAGAAATTGAGTTTTAATTATTAAAAATTATTTAATAATTGGAAAATGGTATTTAATAATTATTGGAGTTTATAAATATTATTAAATATCTAGTAAATTGCGTAAATGGCTCGTAGGCAGAGTGATTGCCTCACTAAGTATTTATTAAATACTTACGCAACTCCATTCCAATGTGTTGCAGGTAAAAGATTTGTGTGATCGCGGAATCAAGGCTGAAGAGGGGGATGATAGGATGTTTACTGTTTTATTGTTTTGCATTATTTTGCTAGACTTGTTTAATTATTATTTGCTTCCGCTGAGCTGATTTATTTGTTATTGATATTTTATTTATTTAATTTATTTTAAAGACCTTCGCTAGAATTGATTAATATTTATTAAAAAAAAAAAAATGTTGGTTGTTTCATTTTGGTATCAGAGCCTAGACGGTTTTAGGACTGTTAGAATTGCTAGGTTAGTATCATCCCCTTCAGCTACAAGAGATTCCGCGGTGAGTTTATGTTTGTTTTGAGTTTTGGTTGCGTGTTCTAGTGTGCTCTTTTTGGTTCCATGAGTGAGATGGACTGAGTAGCTAGAGGTTGTGGCGCGAGAGGGCGCGGTGCTCGAGGCCGTGGTGGCAGAGCGAGAGGCCGTGGAGGCCGGGGCCGAGGTGTGGACTTCGGCGGATTCGGGAGAGAGTGTGGTGCCTAGTGTGGCGACTGCGTCGGTGACCCAGTCGGTATCCGTGGCGAGTGAGGCCAGTGTGGATGCGAGTGTTGGTTTGGGAGCGGGGGCTGCTCCGGGTTGGGGTGGTGCTCCGGCTCAGGGTCTTGATGACTTAGTGGTGGGTTTGCTGACGCAGTTATTGGCTCGTTTTCCGCCAGTGGTTCCACAGGGGGCTCCGGGAGTACCTCCAGTGGCAGAGGTGCAGCAGAGGGCTGCGGGATTTGTTCAGCCGCAGGCTGTGGGTTTGATGGTGCCGCCTTATTTGGATATGATGGGGCACATGCAGAGGATTGGTACGCCGTACTTTAGGGCGGAGTTAGCCCAGAGGCGGCAGATTAGTGGCGTCAGAGATTGGAGCGGAATTTCCAGTCTATCAGATGTTTGTTTAGTACCAGGTGGAGTTAGCAGTCCACTATCTGAGTGGAGATGCATTTGTGGTGGTTGTAGTTTTGTTCTTTTTGTATCTGTGATAGAATTGTGGAGGTTCTCAACGCAATTGAATGTGTAGGGACCTTGTTAGTGGGCGGTTTTGAGTCCCACGTTTTATTCGACTCTGGAGCATCGAATTGCTTCATTACACCGGAGCGTGCCGAGAAGAGTGGCATCCGGAGTAGCGCGGGCGAGAGCGCGGGCATGGTCAAGGTGGCGGGAGGTGGATTCTTGTCTACTTTGGGCCGTGCTAGAGGAGTCGAGATCGAGATTGCGGGGCAGTCAATGCCAGCAGACTTAGTCATCAGTCCGGTGGAGCTGTATGACGTTATTCTCGGGATGGACTGGTTGTCACACTACAGAGTTCATCTGGATTGCTACAGAGGTAGAGTGGTCTTCGAGCGAGATGCAGGGAGGTTGGTTTATCAGGGAGTGAGACCGACTTCCGGGAGTATTGTGATATCTGCTATTCAGGCCGAGCAGTTGTTAGAGCGGGGCTGTGAGGCGTATCTGGCGACGATTTCTATGTCTGAGTCAGGAGCTGGAGTTGTTATGGGAGATATTGAGGTTGTCCAGGATTTTGAGGATGTCTTTCAGTCACTGAAGGGATTACCACCATCTCGGTCTGATCCTTTCACGATTGAGTTAGAGCCGGGGACAGCACCGATATCGAAGACGCCTTACAGGATGGCGCCAGCTGAGTTGGCAGAGCTGAAGAAGCAGATAGAGGACCTTTTGTCTAAGGGGTTCATTCGACCGAGTGTTTCACCGTGGGGAGCACCGGTGTTGTTTGTGAAGAAGAAGGATGGCAGTTTCAGACTTTGTATCGATTACAGAGGTCTTAACCGAGTCACTGTGAAGAACAGGTACCCACTCCCGAGGATTGATGAGTTGTTGGATCAGTTGAGGGGTGCTACTTGGTTCTCCAAGATTGACTTGGCATCGGGGTATCATCAGATCCCGATAGATGAGGCAGATGTCAGGAAGACTGCTTTCAGGACGCGTTATGGGCATTTTGAGTTTGTGGTTATGCCTTTCGGTTTGACTAACGCGCCGGCAGCCTTCATGAGATTGATGAACGACGTGTTCAGGGAGTATTTGGACGTGTTTGTCATCATTTTCATTGATGATATTCTGGTATACTCGAGGAGTCAGGAGGAGCATGCGACTCACTTGAGGTTGGTTCTGGAGAAGCTTCGGGAGCAGAAGCTTTTTGCTAAGTTGAGCAAGTGCAGTTTCTGGCAGCGAGAGATGGGATTTCTTGGCCACATTGTTTCTGCAGAGGGAGTTTCTGTGGATCCGGCTAAGATTGAGGCTATCAGAGATTGGCCTAGACCTAGTAGTGCCACCGAGATCAGGAGTTTTCTGGGTTTGGCAGGATACTACAGGAGGTTCGTCAAGGGGTTTGCTACCATGGCGCAGCCGATGACGAAGTTGACCGGGAAGGATGTCCCTTTTGTTTGGTCAGCTGAGTGTGAGGAGAGCTTTAGTCAGCTCAAGGAGATGTTGACTACTACACCAGTGTTGGCGTTACCCGAGCCAGGGAAGCCTTACATGGTGTATACAGATGCTTCAGGCATTGGTCTTGGTTGTGTGCTGATGCAGGAGGGCAGAGTGATAGCATATGCTTCGAGACAGTGGCAGGGCAGTGAGCGTAACCGTCCTACACATGACTTAGAGTTGGGAGCAGTGATCTTCGCGTTGAAGATTTGGAGGTCTTACTTGCTAGGTGAGACAGTACAGGTCTTCACGGATCACAAGAGTTTGCAGCATATCTTCACTCAGCCGATGATGAACGCGAGACAGACGCGCTGGGTTGAGTTCTTGGCGGACTATCAGGTGAGCATTAACTACCATCCGGGCAAGGCTAACCTAGTGGCGGACGCGTTGAGTAGACGGAGGTATGATTCCGCAGTTGAGCGAGATGTGGAGTCTCTAGTTGGCGAGATCAGTACCTTGCGTTTGTGTGCCATTTCGCAGGAGCCTTTGGGTTTAGAGGCAGTGGATCAGGCGGATCTACTTAGCAGGATCAGAGTTGCTCAGCAGAGTGATCAGAGTTTGCTGGATGCGACGAGAGTGACTGGTTCTGAGTATGAGGTCTCTGCGAATGGGACTATCTTGGTTCGTGGGCGAGTTTGTGTGCCTAAGGATGTGGAGTTGAGACATCAGATTTTGGGAGAGGCTCACGCGAGCAAGTTTTCCATTCATCCGG